GCATGCCTCAGCTGCAGACAGCTTCCAGCCTGTGGCAAGAGGGCAGGGATGATTCATCCTGGAGAGCAGGGGAGGGAAGGGGATGGTGTCAGCCCCGGCTCTCAGTGCTCCTCAGAAGATGTTTTACAGCAACATTGAAGGAAAAGTGCTGTGCCTCTTCCAGAGTGGAATGGAGGGGGGATTGAGGGGCTGGATTAACCAGCACACTGCAATACTTTGTCATGAACCACTGCTAGCAAGGAATTCTTGACTATCCTTAGGATTCTCTTCTTGTTTAATTGGAATAACACAAGGATGGTATTCCATAATTCTCAAAGCCATGGAGCTCATATAAATATAAATAGAAATACACCTATAAATAGAAATATATCTATAAATACAAATATAAATATACCTATAAATATAAATATAAATATAAATATATAGAAATATAAATAAATAGAACTATAAAGCCATGGAGCTCATCACAGTGTGAAAGGAGCCTCTCCATCAGCTGATAGCAGCACCTTGGGAGAAACAGGGGCCTGGCTGTGTCTTCTGGCACAGAGTAAAACAGCACAGAAGCACAGGAGTGGCACAGTCAGAGAGGAGTGGAAAGGTTATGTCAAAATCCATAGCACATTTTCCTTATTAGAGCCAGGCTTGGGTAGTCAAGATGAGAAAGAGCCTTTAAGAAAAGAATTTCATTTCCTGTCTTGCAGGCTGCTGTATAAGAGGGTGCCTCAGGGGCAAGAGCAGAATTTTTCATGAGTGTGTTGTGTGTTAAAGTAAGAATTTCTCCCTACATGTGGGCCAGAGATATAAGAAAGGGTCATAGAAAAATTTGGCTTGGAGGGGACCTTAAAGCTCACCCAGTGCCACCCCTGCCATGACAGGGACACCTCCCACTGTCCCAGGCTGCTCCAAGCCCCAATGTCCAGCCTGGCCTTGGGCACTGCCAGGGATGCAGGGGCAGCCCCAGCTGCTCTGGGCCACCCTGCCAGGGAACAATTCCTGATTCCCAATATCCCATCCATCCCTGCCCTCTGGCACTGGCAGCCATTCCCTGTGTCCTGTCCCTCCATCCCTTGTCCCCAGTCCCTCTCCAGCTCTCCTGGAGCCCCTTCAGGCCCTGCCAGGGGCTCTGAGCTCTCCCTGGAGCCTTCTCCTCTCCAGGTGAGCACCCCCAGCTCTCCCAGCCTGGCTCCAGAGCAGAGGGCTCCAGCCCTCTCATCACTTTTGTGGCCTCCTTTTGACTCATTCCAACAGCTCCACCTCCTTTTGATGCTGGAGGCCCCAGGGCTGAACACTCCAGGCACCCAGCAGAGCACAAAAGCAAAAAATCAGAGCCCTGCCTGGGAGTGAGGCCGTGGCTGGGAGGTTCTTTCATTTCATTTCATTTCATTTCATTTCATTTCAGCAGCTGGAAGATGCCATTCCTCTCCCTGGGGCATCTCCTCCAGCAGCAGCCTCTGGCTGGGCAGGGAGCTGGGGGCACTGGGAGCTCAGCTGGGACGGGGTTTTCATCCCCAGCAGCTCCTGAAGCACTCCCTGCATGGCTCTGACTGTGCCAGGGACACAAAGGGACCCCAGCAAACCAGCCACGAGTGGGAGGGAAGGGCCAGCAGCAGGGAAGTGGTGGCTGGTTAGCAATTACATTTATATTTATATATATATTTATATATATTTATAGCTATAGTTATATTTCTATTTATAATTATAATTTTATATTTATATATTTATATAATTTTTATATTTTAGATATATTTATATTTTTATGTATAGTATATTTATATTTATATAAATATATACTTTATATTTATATAATTTATATTTACACTTATAATACATATTTATAATTTATATTGTAAATTTTTAAAAATTTAATTTTTTTAAAATTTTTAAATTTATATTCTATATTATATTTTATATGTATAATCTTCCTATTTATATTTACTTCTGCTTTATATTTTTATCCATATTTATTTATATCTATATTTTCTATATTTTGATATAAATAAATATAGATATATTTTTATAGCTAGATTTATTAATAAAAATAGAATAGAATAGAATAGAATAGAATAGAATAGAATAATATATAATAATAATTATTATTATATATAATTATATATAATTATATATAATATATAAAATATATAAAAATATATAAAATATATAAAATATATAATAATATATATAATATAATATATATGGCTGAGAGAAACTGAAGTTCCCTCTATATCTATATATTTTTATATCTATATTTTATATAGATATTTAGATATGTCTATATTAATATATCTATTTATGTATAGATATAACTATTTTATATATTGATTATATATTTAGATATTTATATAGCCATCTAAATATATATATATTTAAATCTAAATATATATATATATCTATTTATATAAATAGATATATAAAATATAGATATGAATAAATAGAGGCCCCAGGGAACTTCAGTTTCTCTCAGTCACAGATTTGCTGCATGACCTCAAACAAGTTGCTAAATCTCCTCTTGTTTCTCCTTTCCCCAATTCACATCAAGGGACATTTGTTTGCTTTGCCAGGGTAGCTGAGATTGTTTAATTCATCAGGGGAGTGTCATGTCCAGTACATGGATATAAACTAAAATACACAGAATGGGGTTTGCCCATTTCCTTTAATTTTTGAGAACAAAGTCAGTAGACAAAATCTTGTGCCCTTCGAAACCAAACAGAAACACAAATTTCTTTTTGTAAAATGTTACATAAACCTTAGTGGTTGTTCATTTTTATTGTATTATTTTCAATAATTCTGCAGATATTTCAGAAAAGGGCAGATAAAAAAGAGCTGGGTAAACACAGAGCTGGGTTTTTTACATTTCCCCCTCATATAATTTCAAAAATTAGGAAGTTTACCCTCCCACTTCCCTCCCCACAAAAAGAAAAAGAAATCTGTTTTTTTTTTTTTTTTTTTTTTAAATCAGTAAAGTGTTAAACAAATCAGCACTTAGGAGCACACAGAGCACAGCAGTAACACCAGGGATGCTTTAGAGCACAGGTGAAATGTTCACAGCGGCTCCTGGGCACAGCACAAACTTCCTGCACTCACACAAAGCACAGGGAACCCTTTTTGTCCCACAGCAGTGTTTATCCTGATCCCAGCCATCCTTTAGGGTTTTAGTTTTTTTATTTTTCAATTCCTGTGCTGCATTAGTGCATGATCTAAACTCCATACAGAGGGCTGGTTACTGCCTCCACATTTTGGTCAGACCCAACAATTCCTCTCTGGGCCTGGAACTCAAGGACACCTCACTGCCTCAGGCCCCAAAAAGTATAAATAAAAATGAGCTGGGGGGAGCAAACTGGGGGTGAATGCCTTCATTCCCTGCAGCTGGAATTGGAGCATTAACCCCTGATGTGTGAATGGCCAAACTGATCATGGTGGGACAAACTCGTGCCCATGGCCCCCCTTGGCTGCAGCCTCTGGAGGCTGTGGCTGCCCCACCTGTGCCTGCTGAAGGCTTCCATCAATCCCCTTTAATAAAGGCTTTAATAAAGATTCTTAGGAGTCCTGGAATCCAGGCCAAACACAACCTAAAAGTTCTCAGGAGTCCCAAATCCAGGCTGAGCACAACCTAAAGATTCTCAGGTTCTCTCTCAAGTTCTTATTTCTTGTCCTGAAGTCCAGGCCCAGCACAACCTAAAGGTTCTCAGGAGTCTGAAATCCAGGCCCAGCACAACCTGAAGGTTCTCAGGAGTTCCAAATCCAGGCCAAACACAACCTAAAGGTGTTCAGATGTCCTGAAATCCAGGTCAAGCACAACCTGAAGGTTCTCACAAGTTCCAAATCCAGGCCAAACACAACCTAAAGGTGTTCAGGAGTCTGAAATCCAGGCCCTGCACAACTTAAAGGTTCTCAGGAGTCCCAAATCCAGGCCCAGCACAACCTAAAGGTGTTCAGGTGTCCTGAAATCCAGTCTGAGCACAACCTAAAGGTTCTCAGGAGTCCCAAATCCAGGCTGAGCACAACTTAAAGGTTCTCAGGAGTCCCAAATCCAGGCCAAACACAACCTAAAGGTGTTCAGGTCTCCTGAAATCCAGGCTGAGCACAACCTAAAGGTGTTCAGGAGTCTGAAATCCAGGCTGAGCAGAATCCACCCAAAGGTCCTCAGGAGCCTGAAATCCAGGCTGAGCACAACCTAAAGGTTCTTAGGAGTCCTGAAATCCAGGCCAAACACAACCTAAAGCTTCTCAAGTTCTCTCAGGTTCTCATTTCTTGGCCTGAAATCCAGGCCGAGCACAACCTAAAGATGTTCAGGAGTCCTAAAAACAATGTAAATGTTCTGAGGAGTCCCAAAATCAAGGCCCAGCATAACCTAAAGGTTCTCAGGAGTCTGAAATCCAGGCCTGAGCACAACCTAAAGGTGTTCAGGAGTCCCAAAATCCAGGTCAAACACAACCTAAAGGTGTTCAGGAGTCCTGAAATCCAGGCTAAGCACAACCTAAAGCTTCTCAGGAGTTCTGAAATTCAGGCTGAGCACAACCCAAAGGTGCATCTCCCTTCACTGATCAGAAAATATCTTCACATTCTCCCTGGGAGGGACCATGACCCACCCCAGGGCCCACGTGTGGCTTTGGGGCCTTGGTTCTGCAGCCTGGGTGGGTGGAGAGAAAGCCCAGGAAGGGAGACTGGGTCACAAATATTCCTGACTTGTTGGGACTTCCAAAAATGTGAATTCCTAGATTTTGGAGTGTCAATGTCAATTCAGTTTTTTCATTGTACATAAATCAATGTGTGGGTTCAATTCTGGGAACGTTTCTCGCCCAGTTTTCCCATGGGACTGAGTTTTAGCTCCCTCTGAGGGAGGCACAAAATGATGGTTCTGTGCCTTCCTAAATGCAGGTTTCTTCCAAATGTCCTGCCCCAAGCACCTCACGATGGAGACATGCAAACAAGACTTGGAGGATTTGAAGTCCTCTGCTAGGCTTCCACCTTGCCACACACAAAATAAACCCCTACAAATAAGATAAAGTAAAAATGAAATGGCTCTATTAGGTTTAATGAAGTGACTTGAGACAAAGCAGTTCCATAAAAATGCTTTTTTTTAAAGAAGTAACAGCAAGAGCTCAGAGAAGTGCTGACTGCAGGTACAGTTCTAGCCAATATTAAGATATATTTAGTGATTTCTAGGGAAATATTTCCTTGGGAGAAGGTCAGGAGCCATTTCTGTTGCTTGCAACTCCAGGTGCTGTGTCTGAGCTCCAGTGGGTTGGAGTTGCAGAGAAGGCAGCAGCTTTTATGACATTTCTTCTGGGCTGTCTCTTGTCTCTGTTCCCAAATCCTGTGCAGTGCAGGATGCTGTTCCTCCACAGGTTTCTCACACAACCATCAAACAACAAAAACAAGCCAAGAAAAAATAGTCCAGAACAAATAACCATGTTTGGAATATTATCAGGTAAAAAACCCCCATATCCTAAGACAGAGTTGAGGAGTTTTCATACTGGGGCATCTGCACACCTCCTGGAACAACCCTCCAGCAGCTGGATCCACGTACAAAACCAGCTTCAAAGCCAGGGAGTCAGCCCAGAGCAGGGCCTGACTGACACACCCAGTGCTGCTCCCTCTGTGCCACCGAGGGCTCACAGGAGCCCTGGGTGAGTCCCCTCCCTGCACCACACAGGAATGACCCCTCCTGGGGCTCCTCCATGCATCCAGGACATCACCCCAACTCCTGCTAAAGAAAGCCCTGCTCTGACTTCAATCTCCATCCCAGCAGGGCAGGGGAAGCAGTGCTTGATCTGAGGGGACCTGGGAAGGGCCTTGAAGAGGAATGAGAACCCCCTGAATTGCAAGGATTGTCCAGCCCAGCTGCTGGCCCTGCACAGGACACCCCAAAGCCCACCCTGTGCCAGCAGAGGAGCTGGGTAGGGCTGCACTGTAGGATCCTGGATTCCTGTGCAGGGGAATGAGTTGTACAGACAGAGAGAGCCCTAAACCTGCCCCTAAACCTGTTCTTTTCCCCTCAGGACATCTGCAGCTCTTTGAAATCACCTTGATCTCCTGCTGGAGGAGCACACACACAAACACAGGTCACTCCAAGGAGTGGGAAGTGCTGGCCAAACTTCAGGAGGAGCCACCCATGGAGGAAAATGGAAAATGTTTGGGAGCACACCCTGACAGAGACCAGGAACTTACAGCAGCAAAATTCAGAGCCCTTCAGAACCAGCCTCTATCCAATCTTCAGGAAAACAGTGGCTCAGGATGGGCCCATTCCACATTTCCAGCCCTGCTGAAGCCAGTGGAGGGTGGAGGGAAGGAGATGGGAGCAGCTGAGGCGCTGTCAGCATCACCAAACTCGCCCTGAAAGGAGATTTCTTCCCAAGCAAACCACAGGACAGGCTGGTCCCCTTTATATACACACATGGACAGCTGAAATGGGCTGAAATGCTTACAGGTTAGAAGATCTATACAACATTACACCTGCCACAAATCAAAGTAGAAAAGTTTTACAGCACATTATACAGGTCCCTCTAAAGTCTAAAAAAAAAAAATATTGACTGGAATCACCATATTACAAGAAGTCATCACTAACAGACCATATAATACTATTTCTTTTTCTTTTACAGAATCATTATGGATAGAGTAATTTAAAAAAATCACTTTTTAAACAAGTATACAATTTTCACTTTAAAATTAACTGGTTAATAAAATTCTGTGCAAAACAAGCCAGCCTCTATAATTAAGTGAATTTATTTATTTCTTTATACAAAAAAAAATAAAACAAGGAAAAAAAAAAAAGTTCTTTCAGAAATGTGTCTCCTTTTCTGTGATGGTGGAAATGGTGCCATCTCCTTTCAGTTTGGCATCGCAGTCATTTATTGCTGCAATGTAGGCTCCTCCTCCGAGCTTGCCCCGCATTTTCAGGTCTGAGCTGGGTGTAATCAGCTTCCTGAATTTCTAGAAAATTGGAGAAATTGGAAATCATTATGTTTTTCTTGGCCACAGACACACCTCTCTTTAACAGATCCATTCCAAAAGTATTTTCTCCTGCTTTTCTCATTTATTTCCCTGTTGTGGGCACACCCTCACACCTGCAGGCTGCACAATTCTGGATAAATCCTGCCAGAGCAAAGAAGGCAAAGCTCAAACCAAAGTGAATTTTTATGCTGATTGAACAATCCCCTTTCATGAAGACTCTCAGCACTGTGTCTGTTCTACAGGTACATTTTCCTTCTCATTTTGTCATCAATGATGTCCGCTGGGAAAAACAAATAGACCTGAGACAGCTATGGTGTATTGAGCTGTGCTGGAGCAAAATCTCCTTTCACTTTTCTAGCAATGACATCCACAGCAAGGTTGCTGCTCACAGCAGGAAGTTGGCTCCTCAAGAAGCTCCCAGCTGTGATTCAAAGAATCCTCTTGTCATCCTGGCAGGGAAAAGATAACGACCTGTCTGCAGTGCTGCAGCTCCAGCAAAGTCTGCTCACCGGCAGGGACGGGTGAATTGAGGAAATATTGAATGTTTAGATTTGTGCAAACTTCCTTTTTTGCCTCTCTGAGACAACTTAATGATGGACAATTCAGTTTTAGTTTATATACCCAGTGAAGATTTCCTAGGCTCTCCAGGCTGTGTTTAATCAGCTGAGCAGAGTCTGCAGTGTGGACAAAATGAAGCTTTTCTGCAATGTTGGAATCCCAAATGGCTGAAAAAGGTTTGTAGTTTTGTTTCTTCCACTATCGCTTCCTTCACTGCCTTTCTTTGGAGCTCCCACAGAAACGAGCAACTTCCAAGCTTCAATTTGATAATAACCTCAGCCTAGACCTGAGCTAACTTGACACCAAATGTCAGAAAATTCCACTGAATCTCTTTATTTGCCTGAGTTTCTCATTTAGAGAACTGAAATTAGGAAAACTGTCCAGAAAATGGGAATGTGGGCAACGCAGCTCTTGGAGAAAATCCTGGCAGCACAAATGAAAACCATGGAAAAAGGGAATGGCTGGTACAAACCTTGAGGGATTTGGGTGATAGGCAGTCTCCAGGCTGTGTTTAATCAGCTGAGCAGAGTCTGCAGTGTGGACAAAATGAAGCTTTTCTGCAATGCTGGAATCCCAAATGGCTGGAAAAGCTTTGTAGTTTTGTTTCTTCCACTATCGCTTCCTTCACTGCCTTTCTTTGGAGCTCCCACAGAAATGAGCAACATCCAAGCTTACATTTGATAATAACCTCAGCCTAGACCTGAGCTAACCTGACACCAAATGTCAGAAAATTCCACCAAATCCCTTTATTTGCCTGAGTTTCTCATTTAGAGTACTGAAATTAAGAAAACAGTCCAGAAAATGGGAATGTGGGCAATGCAGCTCTTGGAGAAAATCCTGGCAGTACAAATGAAAACCGTGGAAAAAGGGAATGGCTGGTACAAACCTTGAGGGATTTGGGTGGTGTTACAGACATTTTAAGCTACAAATTGTGCTGGGACAGAGCACCTTAAATTGGTTGGTTTACCAGTGGCAGCAAAAACCCAACAGGAATTCAGAACAAAGCAGAGAATGTTTAGAATTCTCTTTCCAGCAGTGGCTGAGAGCCCTGAGGCAGGGAACAGGGATGTGGCACTGCTGTTGTGATTAAAGGATGAAGGTGAGTGTTGGAACTCAGAATATTCCTCTGGCTGGCCTGGGTGGCTCAAAGCCCTGCCAGGGGGCTCAGAGACCCTGGCACAGAGCCCAAGACCCCTGTGCCTGTGATTATGACCCATGGAAAAAATTACCAACCTTATATGAAGGATTACAAGCCACGAAAGTCTAAGTAGAATAATAATCAGTTTGTCACAGGCTGAAAAGTAGATTTTGGGGGTTTTTAGAATGGGGGTTCAGGGGGCAAGATGGAGGGATCTGGGTGTGTCCAGCCTTTCTCTTTCTTCTTCTTGGCCTCCATCTTCTGCTGTGATGGTGGCACTTTGGGATTGGTTTAGAGTAGAAGCTCACTGTCTAACATAGGTGACAGGTATTGGGAAGTTATTGTACATAAAAAGTATAGTATAAAAAGTATAAAATATAAAAAGATAACACTGCCCTGAGGGTGATCTGTGTGCCTCTGTCTGACCTGCTGAAAGAATTTTATAGATAAGAAACAATAAACAACCTTGAGACCAAGAAATGAAGAGTTCTGACTCCTTTGACAGCCGGGCTGGGAAAAGAGACTTTAACACATCTCAGAGTCGCTGTGAGCAGCAGAACTTCTGAGAGATGAGGAGTCCCACCCCCTTCCCAGCTCTTTGTGCAGCATCACTGCTCTGCAGCTCTCTCTCACCTCCATGAAGGTGCCCTCTGTCTTCCAGAGCTTGATGCAGATCCACAGCGGGATGCAGACCATGGAGGAGAGCGCCATCATCCACCCGATGCCGTAGCCCCAGTCAGGGTAGATGTACACATTGTTGTACTTCAGGGGCTTGTATTTCACCAGGAAAAAGATGAAGATTCCCTGAAACAGGCAGAGATATTTTGTCAGAGGTATTTGGGCAAACCCTGCGTGTGTAACAAGGATTTGGTTGAGTTTTTAGGCCAGGCCAGGCTCCCTAAGGAGGGAGAGCAGAGGGAAGCTCTTCACTCACAGCAAAAAACCCACCAGCAACATCCTCTTTTCTGTACAGCTTAAATAACACATCTCAGAGGCCCCTGCAGAAACGAGCAACCTTTCAAGTTTAATCCTATTTACCTCTTGATGACAATAAACCCAGCACTTTGATGGCAAACAGCACCTGGGCAGGGAAGATTAAGTTTTGCTACAGTGAACCAGCTGTGATTAAATAACATGAGCTGGGTTCTCTCCAACCTGTCAGGATGAAAAATGAAAGCCAAAATTTTTGAAGTTGCTTTAATCCACTGTGTGTATCTGCAGTTCCAATGCTTTCATCCTGCCAAAAACCCCTAAAAAATCTGTCTCAATCTCTAATCAAGCAGCTTGGACCATTTCAATGTATGAAATAGAGAAAAGCTACCATGTAATTTTCTCCAAAGTGGTGAAACGAGTGCACAAGAGCAACTGGTACAGAGGTCATTTCAGATTTGGTGCAAATGGGTCAGAAATGTTCCTAAGTTTGCAAATGGGAGCCTGGGTCTCAAGGTGCCCCAGCTGCTGTGGTTTGCAGTTGCCATCACTGGAGGGTTACACAGCTGGAAGGGGTTTTGGCATCTCATCCTCAATTTTAAGGGCAATCAGCTCATGCTGCTTTTGGAACTTTGTCCCTGTGACGCTGCCACAGCTCTGCAGAGCTGGCACCAGCTTCCTTGCCCTCCTTTATGCCCATGGGATGGGCTTTTGGCCTCTCCTAGCACTTTTAAAAGTAAAAAATGTCTTGTCTCCTTTGGAAAATGTCCACTGCCCCCAAAGAGAAAGGAGAAGGGAGGAGAAAGCAGCAAAGGACCCAGCACAAGCCTGGAGGAGCTTGGGCTGTGTGTTGGCACACAAAGTGCACCAAGTACAGAGAAAAACACCTCTCTTGTTCTGGCAAATGTTCATTTAGGGCCCTGGCATTATTTTTGTCCCTATGATTGTACATACGAAGGTTTTTCACTGAATATTGAACAATTTTACGGATCTTTAACAATTTTACAGGTCCTGCAGAGCGTTTTTTATTTGAAATACATGCTACAAATCAATAAGCATTTCTCTCAATTATTAGCAGCAGAAAAAATAGAAAAAAAAATTCCAGAACCCCCTCTTTATATCTAAAACAAGTGTTTTGGACATTCTGTACTTACTGCACAAATACCTGGAGTTAGGACCATCCAGCACCACTTAATCAACGACACAGGCTTGTACCCAATCATGTCTTCAATGTTCTCATAAAAGCGATTGCTGCCTGCCCAAAACCAAAGGAAAAGCAGATGTAGAGTGCACATGGAAGGGGTTGTCCAGGTCAGGATGTAAAGCAGGGAAAGACAGACAGGGGAAGGCTGAAGCTGCTCCTCTTTCCCTGGAAAACTCCTCCCTGCCATCTGCCCTGTGCTCATGGCAGGGGTTGATCTGCAATTCCTGCTGCCATAAAACTTCTGGTGCTGTAAAAGTTTTATTTCACACAGATCATTGTATCTCTTATGAGAGAGGGAGATTTCATTAGTGTGGCACAAGCTGTCACAAAAATATGAACATTTTGTTTGGTATTACTCTCCTTTTTCCTCCACACCTTGAGTTTGGCTTTCCTTCAGAGCAAGTATAAACCTAATATATTCTGCTTAGTTGGTTTATTCTCTTTGTTGTGGGATCAGGCTGTAAACAACCCCAGTCAAAGAGTATCTATTTTATACATAAATATAAATATAATTTATATATGTAAATATATTTAGATGCTCATGTGTGAACCCAAGGATAGCTGAGCACATGTGATCTGCAGTTCTATGGTGCTTTACAAAGTGGAATTATCCAGAGTGAGCATTTTTGTGGACAAAAAGCCATTTATGATTTTTTTGGGGGGGGAATGGGAATGTGGAAGATCCCATTCCATAAGGGTGCAAGGTTCTCACTTTGCTTTTATGCAAATAGAAAACTTTAATAAGAAAAGCAGAGCAATTTTCATCACTCACCATACACCCAGCCTATGCAGACACACTCAAATATGGCCACAAAGAGCAGGCACATCCCACTGGCTGCATAGGAGTCAAAGAGCTGGAACACATACATCCCACCCTGGAAGAGAAAATAGGAAAGGGAAAGAAAACTTGGGTTGGCAGCAGTGGGAATATTTCATAGCAAATCTCTTTTAATTACACTGTCAAGCTGTTGGCTCCCTGGCAAGCTTCCTGTTCAAGTTGGTTCCTTCTTGAACAAAGAATATTCATTTCTTGGTTTGTTTTTTTACTCTGCACTTCTTTCAGAGTGGTAAATCTGGAGTGAGAGAAGTAAATTTGATTTTTTTTTTTCCAAAAATGCTCTCCCACCTCCCTACTTTTACCTCTGTGGTTTTTTTATCACATCGAGCTGTAGAAATTCCCAGGTGATTCTGACCTCCAGACCCTGGTTCTGTGTCTGTGTTATTAATATGAAAAATAATTAATTAAGATGTGGGGAAAGAAGGTAAAATCTGTAGCTACCAAAATCCCTCTCTGATGGTGTAGGGACTACAAAAGGAGTAAAGTGACCTAAAAAGTGTGAATGCAGCTCACAGACTTGAAGCCACATGACTGAAACAAGTCTTTATTATTTGTCACAAAGAAAAAGAAATAAGAATCATCCAATCAATAACATTAGGGCTAAAAGAATTAAAATTATATGGATAATATTACACTTTTTATGTGAGACACAATCATTTATCACATCTGTATTTAATATTGAAAAAATGAGAAGGAGGAATTCACAAGAGAGCATTTCAAGGGAAAGGAATTCCAAGGAATGAAAGAGGGAATTGATGAGCTCCTCAGTTGGAATGTAATATTTTTTGGGGAGCTCATGTGATCCATTACATCAGACAACTTTCTGCAGGTGGAAGAGAATCCTAAAAAGAGGGGAAAAAATGAAATTTCTTCAGCAAAGTCATCATGGTGAGGCTCAGCAAATCCCTGAGCAAAATGCAAATTTAGAAATCAACCAACTAAGACAGTAAAACAAAACCCCTGCATGGATATTCCTGCAGTTTGCACAACTTGCTTCCCTTTCACTCCTCAAGTTCATATTTCTTTTAGCCTGTGTATCTTCATATCTCTCAGTGCTCTGTTCAGCATGTGCCCTGTGGAGAGGTTATTCCAAGATTTCCCATTTTGCATAGCAAAGATGATTTATTTCACTGACAATAAGAATGATTTACAGGTAAATATAAAATCAGTAAGTAGATAAAATTTCTGTTCAATGCATTATTCCACACAGAGCATCATATCTCTTATCAGAGAGGGAGATTTTTGATTAGTGTAATTAAATATTAATGTTGCAAATTCCAGATGATTCCAAGTTGGAAGGGACACAAAATTTCTGCTCAGAGATTGGCTGCACTGATTGACATGGCTGATGATGTGGAAACCAAAGATAGTTTGATTTTCTCTTTTCACTTCATCTTTATTGTTCTTTCCATCCAAAATGTGGCTGTTCCTGCCCAGGGTGAGCAAGCAGAACCCATGATCAATGTGTCAGTCAGCTGCACTGATTGACATGGCCTGGTGATCTGGAAAACAAGGATGGTTTGATTTTCTCTTTTCACTTCATCTTTATTGCTCTTTCCATCCAAAATGTGGCTGTTCCTGCCCAGGGTGAGCAAGCAGGAGCCACAATCAGTGTGTGTGGCTGGCTGGTGCAAAGCAGATGGAATTTCCTTGGAGATGGAATTTCCTTGGCTGGGCTGTGTGTTTCTAATTAAAACATCTCCTGAGCTCAGCTGATAAAACAAGGCCACTTCTCCCCTTTCAGTTGTTACACAGGAGCTGAGAACAGTCTCTCAAGTATTTTGTTGCCACATTCCTGACAGGGAATTGTGTCTGTGGCAAAGGTTTTTGTGCTTTATCTGTGGTGGTTATAATCACAAATTCTTTCCCTCTGAGCAGTACAGGAAAAGCAGGGGAAAAAGTGGGGGAGAAAGCGATGGGGAGAAAGGGCTGCACCTGATTCCAGTGATATCAAAAGGCTAATTAATTACTTTATTGTCACCATGATATTTTCTGAAAAATCCCTTTGCCAGGATTTTCTCCTGAGAAGCCTCAGAGGAAAAAAAAAAATCAATAATTATCTGCTGCTGTGGAATGCAACAGGTGCATCTTTTTGGGTGGTCCATGTTGGTTGTTTCTAATTAATGGCCAATCACAGTCAGCTGGCTCAGACTCTCTCAGAGTCACAAGATTTTATTATCATGCCATTCCATTCCTTGCTAGCCTTCTGATGGAATCCTTTCTTCTATTCTTTTAGTACAGTTTTAATATATCATTTTCTTTTAATATAATATATATCATAAACTAATAAATCAGCCTTCTGAAACATGGAGTCAGATCCTCATCTCTTCCCTCATCCTGGGACCCCTGTGAACACCACCGCACTTTATTAGACTATATTATTCTATATTATATTACACTAGATCTAAACTGAGTTTTTATATACACTATATTATTCTATATTATATTACACTAGATCTAAACTGAGTTTTTATATACACTATATTATTCCATATTATATTACACTACATCTAAACTGAGTTTTTATATACACTATATTATTCCATATTATATTACACTACATCTAAACTGAGTTTTTATATACACTATATTATTCTATATTATATTACACTACATCTAAACTGAGTTTTTATATACACTATATTATTCCATATTATATTACGCTACATCTAAACTGAGTTTTTATATACACTATATTATTCCATATTATATTACGCCACATCTAAACTGAGTTTTTATGTACACTATATTATTCCATATTATATTACGCCACATCTAAACTGAGTTTTTATGTACACTATATTATTCCATATTATATTACACTACATCTAAACTGAGTTTTTATATACACTATATTATTCCATATTATATTACGCTACATCTAAACTGAGTTTTTATATACGCTATACTATTCCATATTATATTACACTACATCTAAACTGAGTTCTTATATACACTATATTATTCTATATTATATTACACTACATCTAAACTGAGTTTTTATGTACACTATATTATTCCATATTATATTACACTACATATAAACTGAGTTTTTATGTACACTATATTATTCCATATTATATTACACTACATCTAAACTGAGTTCTTATATACACTATATTATTCCATATTATATTACACTACATATAAACTGAGTTTTTATGTACACTATATTATTCCATATTATATTACACTACATCTAAACTGAGTTTTTATATACACTATATTATTCTATATATTACACTACATCTAAACTGAGTTTTTATATACACTATATTATTCCATATTATATTACACTACATCTAAACTGAGTTTTTATGTACACTATATTATTCTATATTATATTACACTATATCTAAGCTGAGTTCTTATATACACTATATTATTCTATATTATATTACACTATATCTAAGCTGAGTTTTTATATACACTATATTATTCTATATTATATTACACTACATCTAAACTGAGTTTTTATATACACTATATTATTCTATATTATATTACACTACATCTAAACTGAGTTCTTATATACACTATATTATTCTATATTATATTACACTATATCTAAGCTGAGTTTTTATATACACTATATTATTCCATATTATATTACACTACATCTAAACTGAGTTCTTATATACACTATATTATTCTATATTATATTACACTACATCTAAACTGAGTTTTTATGTACACTATATTATTCCATATTATATTACACTATATCTAAACTCAGTTTGCACAAGCACCCAGCTCAACTCAACTGCACAGAATCCTGTGGCTGTGAGCCAGCAATCCCAACACACACACACAGACCTGGCCCTGAGAGGCCAAGCAAACCAAACCCCATCACTTTCGGTAAGCAACCTCCACACTGCATTCCACTTTGGCACAACACAGGCACAGCAAACCAGACAAGGATTGTTTTGATCACTCTTTTCTGTGCTCCTCTCAGGTTCAGAGGCTGTGCATCCCTGTGGGCAGGGCAGCTCTCACCTCAGTTAACATGATGAGGCCGAGGAAGTAGGAGACGACGGAGAGGCCGAGGATGAGCAGCTCCCTCCTGTAGCCCCTGCGGAACACCTTGGGGTACATGTCCACCACGGCTGTCACGATGCTTTCCACACACACAAACTGCAACAAAGGACAGCCAAGGTCCAGTCACATCTGTCTCCTCTGCTGCTGGCACTGGGATTTACCACCTAACACTTTAAATATCCTCCTGTGTTTTCATCACACAGGGTGGGTGATCCCTGGCCATGCTCCAAGCTCAAGCTGAGAGGAACATCTCCAAATTAAAGAGTCCAAAGTTATGGATTTCCACCAAATTCAAACAGTTGGATTCTCTAATATTATAATATATTTAATATAATATATTCTCTAATATTATAATATATATAATATAATATATTCCCTAATATTATCTCAGACTGCATTTGCTCTGTAGCAGGTGGACTAAATGAAAATTAGTGGCTTGAATGGAATAAATAATGTACAAAGCCTTCATTGGGATCATGTGCCAAAAACTGGCACTTTTGCCCATTTTGCCATGCATGCTCCAACCTGCTAAAGGAGCAGCAGGTTTTGGGGGAAGTACTCTGCATTTACCAGAAGAGAAAAGTTGAGTGCCCAAGGCAGGCACCCCTAACAAAGGAGGGCAGGAACATGTTCAGTGTCTTTAAACATCAAAAAGAGCAAAAGGCCTGAGCCTCTGACTCAGGGCTCTGGAGCCAGGTTTCTAAAACAGGCTAATTCTGACCTAGTCAGAGGTCTATGAAAAGTCAAAAAATACAGTGTTCTTCTTAGACAATGGAAATGGAACAGAACAACCTATCTGGTTACTAGCAACATATCCCTGAAACTTATTCCCTTATAAAGAATTATTCCCATTAATCATCATATAGACAGTAACAGTATCCTTAAAATAGAAGCCCTCTTAGTATCACCACCTGGAAATTTACAATATATATATATATATATATATATATATATATATATATATATGAATTTACATCAGCTTTTAAACATATATGCCTGAAAAAAACCAAATTAACTCCCCAAAATAGACATTGGAATAGTCAAGAACAAAATCCAGGAACTGCTCTCTTAAAAAAAAAAAAAAAAGACTTTAAAGAACTTGTTAGATCATTAAAAAGAGCAGTTATTAAAATATTAAATTTAAGGATTGGAAATGTCATGCAGAATGAGCACTGCTGAGCTGTAGAATCATAAACTTTCTGCACCCAGTCATGCCAAGGGCTGAGCTGCATGCTAAAAATCTCAGGCACTTCACATTTTTCTTTGAGCAGCTCCTGTAATTTTTACAGTCACACAAGGACAACGACTTCTGTGCTGCCCCTTTGCTGCAGGATATGACTGCACATTCCTTGCTGTGGTATCTTGCAGTAAAAATACACCATGGAAAATTACATTATCCCTATCTGATATTCAGCTTCAAAATTCATTGCCAAGTGCTTTAAGAATGGGCTGGTATTTTACTGAAGCGTGAATTTTAATCAGCCCTGTTGATGTTCAGACTGATTTCTCTGTTAATAATGAGAGCTGGAGTAAGGCTGAACCAGCCTTTGCAGGGAATCATGAAGGAATATCCAGCATCACAACCAAGATTTAAAATAGCAGAGAATCAAGTTAGGGTTCAGTCTTTGATCAGGCTGATGCTGTTTAGGGGTGATTTAGGTGGAACAAAAAGCTGAAGCTCATTGGGGTTTGTTTCATACCTGACTGTCCAGACCCAGGAAAATGAGCATCATGAAGAACAGAGCTGCCCACAGAGGAGACAGAGGCATCATGGTGACAGCTTTAGGGTAAGCAATGAATGCAAGCCCTGGTCCTGAAAAGGAGAAAAGAAATGAAAAGTTTATTCTTGTGTGGGTGTTTGGGATGGAGTTCAGCTCCTCCAGAGCAGCCTGAGCTGTGGGAGAACAGCACTGCTGACACCACAAGTGTGGCTCTGGCTGAGCAGGCCTCACTCAGCATCACTTTTCAGACTGTTTTATCTGGATACACCCATTTGGTCACTTTTCCTCTTCCTGCTGCCTTCCCCATCCCCTGTGGAAGCTGAGAGAGTGAGCAGCAGTGAGGATGCCCAGCTGCTGCTCAGGGTCAGCTCACGAGAACCTCATTCTTCTGCCATGGCAGATAACAGGAGCTAAACCAAGGCTGAACTCCTCGACAAACTCTGCATCTCTCACAGTCTAAACAACTGCTGATGAGGCTTATCAGAAATGGCACAGCCCTGCCTGCATCCAGGCCAAAGGATGCTCAGCTTCTCTTCAGACATCCCAGTGCTTTCTGTTCCTCTTTCTTGTGTGGCTGTGCAGCTCTGCAAACATCCCTGAATAAATCATAGCTGTGCTCCTGTGATTGCCTTACATAACTTAGGAACATATCCTGGAGTCTTCATCTATAACTTAGGAACATCTCCTGGAGTCTTCATCTATAACTTAGGAACATCTCCTGGAGTCTTTATTTTTCTCCTAACCTGGTGCAAGCAAAGGTTGGTTCCCATCCTGCTCTGTGGTTTGGGGTGCTGCTGCTGCTGCTGCTGTGTGACATTGGCTACATATTTAGAGAAATCTTCGAAATAGAACATTTTTGTAATTGATAACTTCTCATATCTGCTAAGATAGCTTCCACCCTGCTCATGTTTTTCTGGTTTTATTTATCAGCTGCTTTTTATGAAGCCAGCCAGCTTTCAAAGCAGGGGCACCAAGGCCCTCTCCCAGCCACTAAAGGAGAACTCTGTGCTCCTGCTGCAGTAACTTCAGTGCAGATCTGTCACACTCTGCTGCTTCTTCAATTAAAGCAGCATTTACAAGCTCCTATAATGAAGTGAAAACCAGTTGTATGGATTTGAGGAAAAGATAAATATTTCCATCAGTGACGCCCTGCTTGTTTTGCAGTTTTCCTGGGATTAACTCCATGAGACTCATTTTTCCTCTGTAATTTTTCCTCCTCAACAGCTCAGCATTACATTGGTTTGTTTGGGGTTTTTGTTGTTCTTTTTTTGGTTTTTTGTTTGGTTTGGTTTGGTTTGGTTTTTTGTTTGTTTTTTGGGTTTTTGGGGGGTTTTTGTTTTGGGTGTGTTTTTTTTGGGGGTGCAGCCTCCTGTTCTTTTCCTTCTGCTTGAAGATGTTACAGCCACAAAGGTGTGGAGTAACTTCCATTGCATGCCCAGCTCCAATGATGGTTGTGGATGGTTAATTTTTCATAAATCTGGGTCTGTGTGCCCTTCTGATTTCTTGTTTTAACAGCTGCAGCTTCTTTTCTTTAATATTCTTTTTCATTTATTTTTTTTTCCAGAAGGAATAAATATTTGTGGATTTCAATCTGTCTCATTGAAAAAAGGTGGAATGCAAATGAGGAGGATTAACACTCTCAACTGAGTTAATCTCTGCTAAACAACATTCTGGATGCTCAGCTGGAGAAAGTTTGTGTAGTTTGTGACTCCCTGAATTCCTGAATTTGGTTCTATGCACAGCAACATTCATCTTTTTCACACACAAATGTATGGCCACAAAAATAGACCAGAACTCTTCCTGCAGCAGTTCTTCCATTGAGTCATCTCCTCCACAGGCCATGGCACAGACTGTGAACTCTGGCCTCAGCCTCTGGGCATTTCTTGTTAACTCAGAAATCTGCTTTGGAACTCACCTGATTCTGCAACTTCTGCAATGGGCACGCCTTGTTCATAAGCCATAAATCCAAGAACTGAAAAGATAGCAAAACCAGCAACAAAGCTTGTGCCACTGTTCAAGCAGCAGAGCATGATGCAGTCTCTGAAAATATAAATAAAAAACACTGCAGTTGATCTCCAGAGCTGGGGTTCCTCCCATCCACTCAGCCAGAGGACTGACAGAACCCTGGGCTGCAGGAATGGAAGGTTCATTAACAGTGTTGCTCATTAACAGTCAGGTCCCAACTCAGATGATTCCTGAGAGCAATCATGAATTAGGAGAACACCATCAGAATATCCTTGCTTGTGTTGTAACTGCTGCAGTTGACTTGTTGCAAGTCATTTGCAGTATTCCAGTAAAATCTTTAAAAAACATGTAAAAACCATGTCAAACATAATATTAATTGTTAAGAACAATTGTAATGATTGTTAAGAAAAATTTCTCCATAATAATTATACCAATAGATTCCAGAGGGTATGAACTCATGAATAAACTCTATTAAATGGTAATGTTTGTTTGCTGGGGAAAAAAAACCAAAACCCTGTGGTCAGATCTTAGCTCCTTCTATCCCTGTTAAAGAACATTGGAAAAATATATCCATGCAACATATTGGCAAAATATATCCATGCAGTTTGGTTGCTGGACAAATTTAAGAAATGAAAAGCGCTGTACATAATCTGGAAGTATGTGCATGCCTACAGAGGTGTCTAAAAAGAGGCAAAGGCAGTGCAGGGCCAGAGATGTCTCAGACAAACACATCCCACACTTCAAACCACGACAAGGACCAGGCCAAGGTGAAGGAGAATTCACCTGGGCTGCAAATGTCACCAGAGTAAATCACTTGACAGAAAAGGAGGATCCTCCTGCAGAAAAGTGTGATTTCCCCCAGAGCCCAGGGAAATCTTGCTGCTCCTGCTGCTCTGACAGCTCTCCAGGAGGGGCAGATGACTGATGCTGACAGTCCCTCCTTGGAGGCTGCTTGCAGAGACAGCTGTGTGCTGAGAAAGTCACAATCCACCCTGCATGTCTGGGGTCAGTTAGGGTTGTAACCCCCTGAAACACAAGGCAAGCCCAGGGCTGTCTCAAGCCCACCCCTAATCTGCTTCATCCCCATCCCACTGTGGCTCTGAAGCAAATTTTTGTGCAAGTATCAATAAGAAGAAAGGACCCTCTAAAATCCAGCAGATTCCTAATTCACAGCTTCAATAATTCAGTACAGGATCACATCTTTGTCACAGATTTGCTGTTGAGAATCAGAGACTGTTGAGAAGCAGAGACAATTCCTACTTCAAAGTCTTGGCAATTATTTCCTCCAAACTTCTCTGCTGATCTCCCTACTAAATGTTTGTCTCATTTAGTGTTTTTAACAACATCTCATCCATTTTTGGAGCTCAAAGTGAGGTGAGCAGTTCCAGCAGCTTGTTCCTTCACTGATGAGCCCTGCAGTGGCTCCCAGATGTGCCCAAAGCTCTTCTGAGGCACCAGGCACAACCATTCCCCTGGCAGGGAGCACCTGCACATCCCTGAGCTGCAAAGCCAAGGACCAGCTCAGCCTCTGGGCCATGGAGGCTTTGCCTTCCCTCTCATCACCTCACCTACACTTCATTGAATTATTATTTTGGGAAGGTTTTATGTTTTCACAACAATTTCAGAGTAAAAATAATCTCCGTGGCACAACATCTAGAAATTGCTAAAATGTGCCCAGCAATAAAAAAGAATGAATATTCCTATTTGTACTGGAGACTCAGACATGGACAAGTGATGTTCACACTTCCTTCATGCCTGGACACTCTCACACTGTTCATTTGCAGTGAAATACAATTCTAACCTTTATTTATTTGCTTTTCTCCCTATAGTTATGCCCAGCCAGGCCAGTTCTACACTTTGGACATTTTAAGCAAAATAGCAATACAAAATAAAGGACTGAGGAGCACAGAGGCCGTTGTGTTTAGCAGAGATACAAAAAAAAAAAAAAAGAAAAAAAAAAGGAAAATCAGCCCCTTCTTGACCTTCTCAGCGAATTTCAGCTCTGAAGAGCTCTGGAGGGACTCTCACCCCACCTCTCTCACCTCAGGACCTGGTGAGTTCAACACCAAGAAATTGCAGCTGAGTGTGATGAAACCCTGATGATAAGAGAGGTCAGAAAGATGAATTTTACAATCCTTTGGAGGAAAAAGCGAGCTCCTGCTTTGGGGGGATGCAGCCAGATGATGCCTCCACTGGGCACGGGCTGTTTCCTTCAGATAAGATTTGCTTTAGATAATTCCCTGCTTCAAATGCAGTCTGAATGAGATATTTCCTGCTGAGGAATGCTGTGGCACAGGGTACTGGAGAGCTGCTGGTTCCTCAGTGGGAGATAAAGGCTGAAGCCCCTGGCAATGATGCCTCAGGTTTTGGCTTTTATATTTTCAGATTCTGGGCTCCTTTAGTGTGTGGGTCTGGGTTCATATCAGGGGATGCTGAGCTCTGTGCACAGAGCAGGGAGACAAAACAATTCCTGCTCCAGCTGGGCACCAAGGACAAATGATCCAAATCTCAGCCCAGGAGCACAAACCCCGTGGGCTGGAGAGAGAAAAACAAGGGTGGGACTGCAGGGGCTAAAGCTGGAATGGGACAATGAACTGCAAGATGCAAATGGAGCAGAACTGATCCCAGGGACAGACCCCGTGCCTGGCTGTGCATTTTGGGGCTTTTTTGGTTCATCTTGGGTTCATTTTGGGACCATTTTGGTCCACCTTGGGTTCATTTCATGACCATTTTGGTTCATCTTGGGCGCAGCCCTGGCTGGGCTCTTGTGCTGCCCAAGGTGCACCCATGGAGGAGATGCTTTGAATAAATCCCTGCTGTCACAGACACATTTTATGGAAAATCCTTTCCTTAGGATTTTTCCTCCTGAGAAGCTGAGAGGCCTCAGGAACAAAATGTAGGCAATGGTTATCTGCTGCTGTGGAATGCAACAGGTGCATCTGGGATTGGGCTCATGGGATTGTTTCTAATTCATGGCCAATCACAGCCCAGCTAACTTGGACAGAGAGTCTGAGCCACAAGCCTTTGTTACCATTCTTTCTTTTTCTATTCTTAGCCAGCCTTCTGATGAAATCCTTTCTTCTATTCTTTTAGTATAGTTTTAATGTAATATATATCATAAAATAATAAATCAGCCTTCTGAAACAAGGAGTCAAATCCTCATCTCTTCCCTCATCCTAAGACCCCTGTGAACACCATCACACCCTGCTTTATTCTCTTTATTCTGTTCTAGGGCAGCCTTCTCAAAGCATCAGCCCCTTAAAGTGGGGCAGAGTCCAGCTGGACAACCCCACAGAACAAGAGGATCCCAGGGATCTCCTCTCTCAGGGAACTCTGGCAAACCACAGCAGCATGGTACCAATTATCTGCAGGATAATTCTCCAAGAAAATGGGAAAAAGGGGATTTTCATCCCCCCCAGCCAGTGAGTTCCTGTTCATTTCAGATAACACCACCCCAGCTGAAAGGTTCCATGCCAGGGAGGCAGTTACAGACTGAGCACAGCTTCTCTCATAAAAATACAACCTCCAGTTTCCCTTCCCTTGGCTTTGCAGCAGTTCCACCAACCCCTCAGCTCCTGGTTTTTATCCCATAGGCAGAAGGACCCTGTAGTTCAGGGATTCTTTTCTGCTATGGGAAGAAAAACCAGAAGGGGGATCTGGATCCACTGATTGTGAAACCAATGAGTTTTAAAACACAAATGCTCAGGAACCATGGGAAGGGCAACATGAATTTTTTATGTGCACCCTTGGCAGGAGGACATCAGAGCCTGACTGAAGCCCAGACTGATTTCAAGTGAAAGGAAAACTTCAAATTTTTATGAAAACTTCACATTCTTCCAAATTAAACTCCTGCCAATCACCTGAATAATTCAAGATGTGCATCACTTCTCCTCTCCCTGCCTGACAGGAAAATTCTGAATTCTGAAAATTCATCCTGCCTTCCTAAGGAGCCTCTCTGAGCCCACAGAGCCCCTGGCATCCCTCCAGTCCCTTCCTTGCCTTTATGGGTTCCTCAAGACCCAATGGAGAAATTCCCATTTCTCTTTTCCTCCTAGACCAGCAGCTGGACAAAGGACAAATCTTCAGGTCCTAAAAGTTTTGTCCATGTGTGAAATCCCTCCTTTATCTCCTGCTCCACAGTGGGAACAGGGGAGCTGACCCTGGACTCGTACCTGGGCATGGATTTGGGATTTTGAGGTGGATACAGATCAGACACCAGAACACCTGTGTGTGATCCCTGTGGGGAAACTCTGCCAGGGTTTCACCTTCTCAGAGGGGTCACTTGGGATCCACACTCTGGGACACCCAGGAAGGAGCAGTTTCAATGTTTTTCAATCAAAGATACCTAAAGATGATCAAAATTCATTTCCCATTTAAAGACACAAAGTGACTTTTGCAATTCATTTACCATGTGAATGAATTCAATCAGGTTTCTATCTTTAAATTCTTTAAATTAAAATCTTTACATTCACAAGGCCCTCGTGCAGTTCAGACTTTCCCATTTCCCACTGAAATACCTCTTGCCATTATTTTCCTTAGGGAAAAAATAAAATGGAGTAAAAAATGACAGAAAATGTTGATGTTACAATCAGACTGTGAGAATTGCAGGAGAAAAAAAATCCCAGCTTGATTTTATTATTTTAAAGTGCTGGTTAGGATACAAAATTGTCATTTTCACATCAGAGCTCTGTTTATGTCTTGCCCTGCCCAGCTTGGCCACGTTCTGCTCTTCACTGCTGCCCTCCCCCTTTCCCCAGACTCATTAAAAATCACATGTCAGGACACATTAACATCTATTCCCTAGCTGGGAAATTTGGGAAATGTTTTGTGAGGGGAATTTTGGAGCCTGGATGGAGTAAAAGGTGTTTGGCTGCAGCATCCTGCTCTGGAGCTTCAGACAGAGTTTTACCAGCTGAGCCCCAGGGTCAGGGAGAAGGAAAGAAAATTCCATAAATCCAAAAACTCCTGCTTTTTGTAAAAAAAACCCCAAAAAACTCAGGAAAAGCTTTCCTGCACTCCTTGAGGCACTGACTGTTTCTAGCTGGGATACAACTGGAAAGAAATATAAATAAATATAAATAAAACTGAATAAGATAGGAGAGGAGTGGTGTCTTTGCTAAAGCTTGTGCTAACTAGGGGAAATGTTCATTATCAGCAGTTCTGGAGGTTTTAGGGGACTCACACCACTTCCTGCAGCAAAACATTTTGTCTTGCTAAGACATGGAAAGAAGGAGGATTTCTTAAAACTGCCTCCTGAGGTCTCCAAATAAAACTGAATAATGAAGAATTTAAATAAATTTGGGGGTTTGGGGGTGGTTTGTTTAGGATCCTTTCACTTTTGGACTGTGTTATTTCCCTCATGGAAAAATGAAATATTAATTCTCTGTCTGGAGATCTCAATGGAGTCACTACAACCAAAATTCCTTGTAAAAATTTTAGGAAAAATAATCCAATAACTATGAATTCCAGAAGAAAAGACCAGTGCTCATAGTGCTGCCCATGCCAGAAATGTGGAACAGGGGGGATTTTGTGCAAATCAATCCTTTGGCCATTGACTCAGGAGAGATGAAAACCTCCTGAAGTCATTGAGAATTCCCTCCTTAGGAATACAGAGATAAACCATGAAATGCCCCCCATTCCCTTTGGGTTGGGGCTGCAAACTTCCCAAAAATGGGGAAAAGTGGCAGTCAGAGCATGGACCAAACTGAGGTGGTTTTTAATGACAATTTCTGGTAGCACTTTGCAAAAAGCAGCTGAAGTAATGCACACACATTCAATGATATCCTGTATTTTTACATGAAATTCCTATCTCTGTGTGTGCTGAGGGGCTGTGGTAAGCTCAGATTTGACCAAAAGGGATGAAAACACCACATTTTAGAGCAGAGTTCCTCTGGGGCAGTTCCAGATCTCTGTTCTACAAAACCATGTGTGCTTATGGGAATACAGAGATAAACCATGAAATGCCCCCCATTCCCTTTGGGTTGGGGGCAGAAAACTTCCCAAAAAAATGGGGAAAAGTGGCACTCAGAGCATGGACCAAACTGAGGTGGTTTTTAATGACAATTTCTGGTAGCACTTTTCAAAAAGAAGTAATGCACACTCATTCAATGATATCCTGTATTTTTACATGAAATTCCCATCTCTGTGTGTGCTGAGGGGCTGTGGAAAGCTCAGATTTGACCAAAAGGGATGAAAACACCACATTTTAGAGCAGAGTTCCTCTGGGGCAGTTTCAAGGAACATTACAGATCTCTGTCCTACAAAACCACCTGTGTGTGCTTATGGGAATACAGAGATAAGCCATGAAATGCCCCCCATTCACTCTGGGCTGGGGACTGCAAACTTCCCAAAAAATGGGGAAAAATGGCACTCAGAGCATGGACCAAACTGAGGTGGTTTTTAATGACAATTTCTGGTAGCACTTTTCAAAAAGAAGTAATGCACACTCATTCAATGATATCCTGCATTTTTACATGAAATTCCTATCTCTGTGTGTGCTGAGGGGCTGTGGAAGGCTCAGATTTGACCAAAAGGGATGAAAACACCACATTTTGTATCAGGGTTCCTCTGGGGCAGTTCCAAGGAGCATTACAGATCTCTGTCCTACAAAACCATGTGTGCTTATGGGAATACAGAGATAAACCATGAAATGTCCCCCATCCCCTCTGGGTTGGGGACAGAAAACTTCCCAAAAATGGAGAAAAGTGGCAGTCAGAGCATGGACCAAACTGAGGTGGTTTTTAATGACAATTTCTGGTAGCACTTTTCAAAAAGAAGTAATGCACACTCATTCAATGATATCCTGTATTTTTACATGAAATTCCTATCTCTGTGTGTGCTGAGGGGCTGTGGAAGGCTCGGATTTGACCAAAAGGGATGAAAACACCACATTTTAGAGCAGAGTTCCTCTGGGGCAGTTCCAGATCTCTGTTCTACAAAACCATGTGTGCTTATGGGAATACAGAGATAAACCATGAAATGCCCCCCATTCCCTTTGGGTTGGGGGCAGAAAACTTCCCAAAAAAATGGGGAAAAGTGGCACTCAGAGCATGGACCAAACTGAGGTGGTTTTTAATGACAATTTCTGGTAGCACTTTGCAAAGAGCAGCTGAAGTAATGGACACACATTCAATGATATCCTGCATTTTTACATGAAATTCCTATCTCTGTGTGTGCTGAGGGGCTGTGGAAGGCTCGGATTTGACCAAAAGGGATGAAAACACCACATTTTGGAGCAGAGTTCCTCTGAGGCCGTTCCAAGAACCATTACAGATCTCTGTCCCACAAAACCATGTGTGCTTCTGGTTATCCATGGGAAGAAGGGGAAGGGCAGTGGCTCCAGGTGTCCCCCCAAGAGCAGAGCTGCAGGCTGCAGGCTGTTACCTGTAGCAGTTGTTGTTGTAGTTGTTGTAACTCCCCAGGGCTGTCAGGCACCCCAAGCAGATGGCGTAGGAGAAGAAGATCTGGGTGCCAGCATCCACCCACACCTGGAGACACAGAGCAGGGAGAGCTTCAGAGAGCAGCCAGGAGAAATCCCCCTCCTGCCCAACGCGGCCTGCAAACCTGCACACACGGCTCTGCAGGTGGAGAGGGTCTGGCAAAGCTTTTACAAACCATAAATGGAAAAAAAAATAACGTGGTGAGAGGGAAATTCCCCTCCCCATCCCTGCTGGTCTTTACAGGCTCAGCCTAAAGTGGAAAGGGAGACAGAATTCCTAGAGAAGAACCTCACCCATTACATTCATTAATTGCTTTTAGATAGTTTTAGTAATTGCAGCCTAGATGGAATCACCTGCATTTATCTCGCTCCTGTTGGACAGTTATTTACTCAAATTTAAAACTTTAGTGTGAATAATTGCTCTAAAGACAAAATGTGCTATTCCTAAGGCACATAAATATATAATATGTTGTATATATAACATACAATAATATATCTTTATTATATATAATAAATATATAATAATTATATATTATAATACTATATAATAATATAATATTATAATACAGATAATACATTAATGTGCTATTCCTGTAGCACATAAATATATTATCTGTATTATATAATAATATAATACAGAGAATACATAAATATATAATATTTATCTATTATCTGTATTTATGAATTATATTATTATAATTAATATATAAAATTTATATTTATTATTAGAATTAATTGTATTATTATAATTTATATATATAAATTATATATTAATATATAATTTATATAAATATTATATATTTATTATTATATATTTAAATATATTTATTTATATATTTTTTATATAAATTATATTTATTATAATTAATCATATTATTATAATTAATTATATTGTTATAATTAATCTATATAAATTATATATTAATATATATTTTTATATATATTAGTTATAATAATATAATTCATAAATACAGATAAGACATAAATTAAGCTGGGGAAAGAAGGGATAACTTTTCCAGGAAAAGGATGTTTTCAGCAAAATTTAATGGATCCAACAGGCACAAAATTACAGCTCTGGTCACTGTACAATCAACAAATAAAAGTTCTGCAGAGCTGAACAAGTCAGTAGTTCTGTAATGCCATTGTGGGAATATTTGTATCCTAAAGCGATGCAAACAATTTGAAATCAGAGCAAAGGAAGCCTGAGTTGCCACAGTGAGATTCTTCTCCTCAGAGCAACCTCAGAACATTATTGAGCAGGTTCATTTTGCTTTAACAGTATTGCAATAAAGCCATTTATTCCCCCTGAGCAGTGTGGGTGTGCTCCCACTGGAGGTGAAGGTACCCCTTGAAGTCCTGGATATGGAGATATGGAGAACCCAAACCCACAGAGCTGCCATCCAATAAAATCCTGTTTTCCTGGGATAAATGATCTCTTTAAATTCTTCATTACATCAGAGCAACCAGAACACCAAAGCCTGAGTGGTGCTCAGAGGCAGTGGCTGTGCAGCCATGCCCTGCTGGAGCTGGAGCCAGGGAAGGGGGAGCACAGGAATGATTTCAGTACTAATAACAGCCATCAAATCCTCCTGAGCACACAAAGGGGATGTGTTTGTTTTACAGTGATCAAGTGAGACCTCGCTCTCTGGAGCTGTTGAGTGTTTCTGTTTAGAAATAACATTAAGATCACATTTGATTTACATCAGAGGCTTAAAGGGTTTCGTTGCTGTCACCCCGAATAAGGCACAGCTGGTTACATCCCAGAGCCTCAGCAGGAGAAGCTGCACACAGAGAGCCCTCTGACAGACAGGCTCTTCAACAAGAGTGGAAGCTCCCAAAAAGCTGTGAGGAGCGTGGGTCAGCTGAAATGCTCCTTCTGCTGGGGCCCACACAAAAGCTGGGAAACTGGATCAGCACACGGATCCTTCCTTTCTCTTTCCCCTTTCCCTTTCCCCTTCCCCTTTCCCCTTCCCCTTTCCCCTTTCCCTTTCCCCTTTCCCTTTCCCTTTCCCTTTCCCTTTCCCCTTTCCCTAACCCTAACCTTTTCCACTTCCCCTTTCCATTCCCTTTTCCCTTTCCCCTTTCCCTTTCCCCTTTCCCTTTCCCCTTTCTTCTTTCTCCTTTCCCTTCCCTTTTTCCTTTCCCTTTTCCCTTTCCCTTTTCCCTTTTTCCTTTCCCTTTTCCCTTTTCCCTTTTCCCTTTCCCTTTTCCCTTTTTCCTTTCCCTTTTCCCTTTTCCCTTTCCCTTTTCCCTTTTCCCTTTTCCCTTTTCCCTTTTCCCTTTCCCTTTTCCCTTTCCCTTTTCCCTTTTCCCTTTTCCCTTTTCCCTTTTCCCTTTTCCCTTTTCCCTTTTCCCTTTCCCTTTTCTTTTCCCTTTTCCCTTTTCCCTTTTCCCTTTTCCCTTTTCCCTTTTCCCTTTTCCCTTTCCCTTTCCCTTTCCCTTTCCCTTTCCCTTTCCCTTTCCCTTTTCCCTTTTCCTTTCCCTTCCCTCCCTGCCCTCCCCTAGCTGCAGGGCAGGGCACTGAGAGGAGCATCACAAGTGCTGCTATGTCCTTCAAAGGAAAAAAAAAACCATCACATCCCACAGGGAGTCAGCCTAAAAAGTGGCAAACACTCTGAGAAACCCCTTCTGCAAGGAAACATTCACATATTCTCTAAAGCTGGGATCAGACTGAGGAGAGGTTTTGTTGCACTCTTTGACATCAGTCTAGAAATTCCTTCAGAACTTAGGGCTGATGTTTAAATAGGAATGGAGAAGCAGTTTTATTTGCTGAATGGAATAACAGAATCTGTATGGCTTCTTTTGGGGTGGATGCTCAGAGGACAAGTGTCATTTAACCCTTTCAGCTTTCTAAAATGGCCAGAAGTGATCAGCAGAGTGGCAAACAGGAACATCCATTTAGAACCCACAGGTAGATTGTCTGTGGCTGAAAACCCACAAGAGCTGGAGTAACCCTGGTGTAAACTGCCAGACACACCAGCCCTTCAAAGCCCTGAAAATGACATTTCAGATCAGTTCTCCATCTCCTTCCCCTACAGCAGGGACCAGCTGACGTTTCGCCTCAGGCTGCAGCGCTCAGTTCGTGGCAGGAGGATTTGCTGAGGTCTCCAATTGTTCATTAGTGTGATTGTTCATTAGTCTGATTGTTCATTAGTGTGATTGTTCATTAGCCTGTGTCCCTTCCCAAAGGGCACCTCAGGGAAGTTGTTCCCATTCCAGCTTGATGGGCTCCTGCAGACGCCAATCCCAAATCCAGGTGCACCCACCCAGCCCACAGCCACAAAACCATGATGGGATATTTCTGAGTGCTGAGCCTGCCTTAAACCAGGAGCTGTTCTCTTTTCCATGCAGAGCAATGACATTCTGAAGGGCAGGGACCCAGAGGAGGACCTGGGGCAGACCAAAGAGGGCGTTTGTCTGAAAGGTGACACAGCTCAATGCTTCTCTGCCATGAGGAAAGGACCTGAGAACACCAGGGAACACCCTGTGGGTTCTTCATGGAATTTGGACCTTGAACACCCTTAGGTCAGTGATAATAAATTCAATTTAGCCCTCACAAACTTGGGGTTTTAACAGTTTTCTAGTTTCCATCAGCTCCTACCTTAAAGGAAGTAAATAACTTTTTTAGCTTTATTCAAGTCATATTAAAAGTTGCCATGCCCAAACAAGATTAAAATTAAAGCTCAAAAACTTTGATAACTAACCCTAATATTTAAAAAATCCCAATTTCAAAGGACAGAACCTTACAAAACAATAAACAGGAGCACTTTCTACTAAAAATGGAAAGTGCTGCTCTGCAACATCCAACCCTTGAGTCTGGCAATGCCCCCATTTTAAGTGTGTGTGGGTAACCTCAGTTTGGCCTTCTTGTGGCAGGTCTGGGACACAATCTCCATTTGCATGGGTGTTTCCTGTGCCCAGGGAGATGAATGGGGCTGGCCAAACACAGGATGCTGCTGTCTGAGGATGCCCTGCCTCCTCTGCAGCTCCTGCCATGAAAGCAGGAGAAGGAAGAAAGGAGGGGGATGTGCTGTAGTGCAGACAACAGAGCCCTGCTCTGGAGAATTGGGCTCTTTTCATGTCCCTGCCATAAAGCTTCTCTGGGATGTTATGTCCATAAATCACTCCAAGCAAGCTTTTCTCACATGCTCCTTGACTTGGCTGTGCCCTAAAGGGTGTCCAAAGCAAAGGAGAAAGTTATTGCTGCAGATAAAGTGAATTCAAGGCACTTTTGGAACAACTCAAAAACCCCCCAGTTTAACAAAGCAAACTGAAAATCCCCAGAAGAGTGACAGCCCCTCATTTCAGCCTCAATATAAATGTCTTTCTGTCACTAAGATGGGGTCATGCCATACACTGAAAATAAAATAAATGAGGTGTCTGAAGCACATGGGCAGTGCAGAAATAATTCCCTTTGCAAGGCTGAGCCGGTTTTTTTGTGATGATCAAGCCTTATGCAGTGAATTTAGAGGGCCAAGCAAGGGGTGAGAGGGATAAAACAAAATATTGCATAACTGTCCTGAGCTGAGCTCAGTGCCTGAGCAAAGCAGAGACCTCAGGGACAGCCTGGGACGTGTTGGTGTTGATTATTTCCATCATGCATGGAATAAAAAGGAATTCCTTCAGGTGGAATAAAAAAAAGTTCATGGAATTGTTGTTTCTTCTGGAAAAAAACAAAATAGTGGAATAAAAAGCAATTCCTTCAGGTGGAATAAAAAACAATTCATGGAATTGTTGTTTCTTTTGGAAAAAACCCCAAATCATGGAATAAAAAGCAATTCATGGAATTGTGTTTCTTTTGGAAAAAAACAAAATCATGGAATAAAAATCAATTCCTTCAGATGGAATAAAATACAATTCATGGAATTGTTGTTTCTTTTGGAAAAAAACAAAATCGTGGAATAAAAAGCAATACCTTCAGATGGAATAAAATACAATTCATGGAATTGTTGTTTCTTTTGGAAAAAAACAAAATCATGGAATAAAAAACAATTCCTTCAGATGGAATAAAATACAACTCATGGAATTGTTTTTTCTTTTGGAGAAAAA